CTCTCAATGTGAGATCCAAAGGGCTGACACTGTCAGTGAAGCAAGCCATCATTAGGCTGAAAGTCAAAGCATACCCATCAGAGATATACAAAAAACAATAGGTGAGACCAAATCAACTATCTGGAACATTCTTAAAAAGAAAGAACACACCTGTGAGCTCAGAAGCACTAAAAGATAAAAATCAACTGGTAGATGACCAAATACTTTTTACCCTGGTAAATTACTTTTTGGTCCTTTAGGGAGGCACATTAAAAAAAACTATTGTAATTTGTACACCGTTCACCTGATTTGAATGTAAATACCTTCAAATTAAAGTGGAAAGTCTGAAGTTTTGGTTTGGTTTGGTGCGTGTAGTGGATCTTCTACTGGAACATTGTGAAATGTCACCTGTATGTCCAAAAGGAGCCAAGCACATATTATCCACGCATCAGTCTGTGCAGTCTCTTCTGTCCTAGGAGAGTGTACCTGGAGAAGATACTGAAGCTTGTCTGTGTGACTGTCGATCCTTCAGGTGGAACAATGAATAGTAGATGGTTGACTGGATCTGTCATGAGAAGTTTGTAAAGCTTAGAAGAGGCACTAGGCCCTTTAACATCTTCACAAAACTTTGTCAAAGTCTCTTACATTCCCTTAGAACGCTTTTATAGTGACTGTGGGACTGTACGTACTGTTCCCACCTGGTTTTACTTGGTTGGGATCTGTATATTTGCCATTTACCTCATTGTACACCGTTCACCTGATGAGGCCAACAACATGTCAGTGTCCTCATCACCTAGAGACCCCAGCACTAGTGAGACCCCGACCCGATTGGGTGCATCGAAGGAGCTACACTGGGCACTCCCTGTAGACCCAGCAACAGCAGAGGCAGAAGCCCTCGCCTTCTCTGAGCCCCAAGGCACTAAAGCCTCCAGTTGCCCACAGCCTGACACATAGGCTTCAGATTTTGAGGTTGGAGTAGAGGTTGTTCCAGCTACTGTATTGCTGGCCCATCCAGCCTGGTTCCCCACTAGACAGGCCAGAAGCACGATCATAAGACCACCTGCATCATTGAGCTCAATGTGCCGGAGGCTGGGTCCCTGGAGATTTTAGAACCCCTTTTTGCCGGTTACTGGGGGCCGTCAACTTGCCATCCACCAGAGATAGACGGCTGATGTTGATGGTGCCCAGGTTTTTACATCAGAGTTTTCTTTCTCGTAGGTGGGCTGCCTGTCAAGGCTCTTGAGTCCCACCTGCCCAGCTGCTTTTGGTTCATGGCACCCTATTCGCTTTTCAGCTTATTCAGGCACATCCTTATACACCAGGAACAGGGATCTCCAATCCAGCATTTGGGGGACGCACCTCTATGCAGTGCAGCCTCAGCACGAGGAAGTCCATCGTGGTGGTGTTTACAGCCAAAAAGAGTAGATTTGTGTCAATGTCCCAATATTTATGGACCTAACTGTATGTATAATGTTAACCATGTGTGGATTAGAGAGAGTAAATACAAACCCGTGCATCCAGTTCTTGGTTTTAAAGGGATCCCTGATTAGTTGTATTTGATAAATATAAATTTCAAATGTAAAATAAAGACTGTAAAAATACTTTTGTAATTTTTTAAAAATATATTTTAACACGGATGGAGACATTTTATTTGCACACAAAGCATTCTGGGTAAATGATGACGTGGATAGGTCAACGGTGTGAGCGAGGTATATCCACCCTGAAGGTTAATCTTGGACAATATCTGATGATCGACTCTTTTAAATGAAACCAGAGAGCGTTGACAGAGAGGAGAAGGTAGAAATGACTCAGCCTGGAACTGAAAATATGGATGGAGGACAACAGAGCTGCTTCATGGAAGAAGAACCTCAGCTTAGCCTGTTGGTCTTTGCTCTGGTGCCGACACTATATTGCATTATAAGTATTAGTTCGGCGCTAGTGCTACAAACTAATAAGCTAAACTGAGGTCCTCCATCTATATTTTCAGTTCCAGGCTGAGTCATTTCTACCTTCTCCTCTCTGTCAACGCTCTCTGGTTTCATTTAAAAGAGTCGATCATCAGATATTGTCCAAGATTAACCTTCAGGGTGGATATACCTCGCTAGCAGCCTCACACCGAGGACCTATCCACGTCATCATTTACCCAGAATGCTTTGTGTGTAAATAAAATGGCCGTGTCCGTGTACCGTGAACATCCTACAGTATTTTTACAGTCTTTATTTTACAGTTAAAATACATGTTTATTAAATAAAATCTAACGTTACAACTAATCGTGGATCCCTTTAAAACTCTTTAAAGTTGGATGTTTTATAGTCGATTTAGCCTGGAAAAAGATAGTTTCAAAACAAACTATAAAAACAAATAATTAAATACTCGTGCTCACTTGTCTGTATGTCTGACGGCAGCTGTAGCTCTCCACTGGATTTTATATTTATTTTGCCATAGTTTCATGACAGTGAATCAATTTCTTCATCAAACCCTCGGCGTAAAAGTGAATAAAGCGATAACACAAAATGTCATGGTATTTATGAGTTCACTTGAGGCTGCCCAAACAAGAAAAGGTATTGTGATCATTTAAATGTGCTGAAACATGTCAGAAATGTATCCGACAACACCAAAAGCACAAAAGACAGAGACAGTGTTAGAGCTTTATGGCTACAAAAGGTCAAAATTTATGAATCAAATTTTGTTTTTGTTTTTCCCTCTGCCATCTTTACTGTAAATCTGAGTCCTTTAAGTATGAGCTGTAGAACTGAGAACTTTTGAGCACTTACACAACAAAAACCTGCAGCTGGTTGTATGCTGTATACAGTGCTTTTCTGCTTGATAAATGGGCTGATAATAATCTCAAAGTATAGTTTGAGAATGACGAAGGAAAAAAAAACATGTTTCTGAAACAGACAGACAAACAGGCTCACAACCTATTGGCTCTGTGTGGTTAATGTACCTCTGTGTGTGCTCGTGTGTGTGCGCTTTTATGCAAATGGAAGCGGTGAGATAATTCTGCGTGGGCCGTTGGTGCCCACGCAGTGTGGGAACATCGCTCAGCCTTCACAGGTACAGATCCCTGGGGACAAGGACAGACAGACGGGCAGATGGAGAGCCGGTCGATCAGAAGCAGCTTTGTGCAGAGGTTTCCAACCTTTGTCACTCCCAGTGAGCCACATATTGATCCTCATCGCAGGTTCCTCCACTTCCACAGGTTCTGCCTCTGAAAGTCTAAGAATGTTCTGAAGGACATACTGTCTGAGCAGACTGTGTTGGGAAATCATTTAAATAAATATATAGAGTAAAGTTTAACTCAGAATGATTTAGCACTTGTTCTTTAACTATATCAGGGAAAAGAGCAATATGTGAGCAAACACAGACATTAACAAGTTAGGATGTAGACGCATGGACGTAGCCCACCGGATACAAACAGTCATCATAAAATACTGAAGAGAGGAACTATGACATCAACTAAAGGTGAAAGAAGAGAGCAGGCAGATGGAGAAGGAGGCGGATGGTGAGATATATGCTGACAGATTATACAGACAGACAGTGACATGGTCTTAAAAAACATCAAGTGTTCAGCATGTGTAGCCTTGTTCAGAAAAACAACACAGAAAAATGTGTGGAAACACAAATATTAGAATGAGAAAAGTTTAAAAATGAGTATGTTCAAGGTTGTTTTTTATGTGTCAAGTTTTCTTGGTTATAAATTACAGTCTGAATAACAAATACAGTTCTCTCCTGTCTGATATTTATATCCCCCAGTGCTGAGAGGCATAGGTGGGCATAATGTTTTTGCCTGTGTGAGTGTGTTTATTTGTTCATTCGTTGTTATCTGAATACCTCATAAACCACTTTTTTTTTGTTTTAATGAAAAAACTAGAAAGTAATAATTGGATGCATTTCTACAACTGATTAAGTTTAGGAGTCAGTCCAAATCAATATGGTTGCCACAACTACTTCACCCTAAGCAACCCAAGATGATTAAAGAAACTGAAGTAAAACTTGATGAGGTGGTAGCTAAATGTCATTTATGACACATTATCTGAGGATTAACAGATTCCTTGAGATCTTGCAAATTATGTGAGATTACACCTTTTTAAGGTTTGACCAAAACCGTCCTAATTTTTTTATGTCTTATGAAATGAATGTAGTTTAAATTTTTTGCACAGATGATGACAGGAAACATGAGTTTCTTTAAGGGCAGTTTGACACTAAGATGCACGGTATCTCTTCACGTATGGATAAAACTCAAGTCTGAAACACAAAATATGAGAGTAAGTGAATTACAGGTGTGTTTAATAATGTAAGTAAATCACTAAATAATATTTCAAAAGTGTATAAGTGTCAGGAATAAATTAATGAACTGGAACATACCCACTGTAAGTCACAGCCAATGTTCATGATGGTAATGATCATGTCACACTATATACTCTATGTGCATGTATGTATAATACATACTGCATACAGGACCTCAAAAATGTATTAAAAGCTTTTTATTTATTTATAGAACCAAACTGAGTTCATTCAACAAGCTATCTGCAACTGATAAAATATAAAATATGTCAACTATTTCTTTAAGAGGAAAAGGTTTTGCTCAATTGATTTGTTTCTAATGAATGTACAATCCAACCTCAGTATATTTACTGTATGTTGAGTTAACCTGTTGATTTATGTAACCGACTTGTTTAAGCTTAAATAATAGACAAAAGCAGTGCATCAGTATATTTAAAAATCATTATAGTTTCTTTTATTATCTTTTCTTCTGGTTTAATATATTTGTCGACTGTAAACAAAGATCCTAAAAGAACCAGAATTGCTTATTTTCTTGTGCCTTTACACACATAGAGTATTTCAACTTTTTCTTCCTCAGACAGATTTAGAACTCTGGTCAGGAGGACAGATATATCTCCTGCAGATGTAAATTGGGCCATATGGATCCGGCGAAGCAAAGACAAAATCATATTTGTGAGCTGAACTGCTAACGCTGTCTTTATGAACCTTCTGCTGTTTGTGTGTTTGTGCCACAGTGTGCGGAGACATCCATGGCCAGTTCTTCGACCTGATGAAGTTATTTGAAGTGGGAGGCTCTCCTGCCAACACGCGCTACCTCTTCCTAGGGGACTATGTAGACAGGGGCTACTTCAGTATTGAGGTGAGGATGGATTATCTTGCTTTACCTGGTAAATCTCATCTCTGTGGGTGTGCATCCAGTCAGAAGAGCTTACTGCATATGCAGTGACCGTACAGATAAAACTGTGTCAGTGGTGTTTATTCCCGCCGGTTTAAAATGCACTATCCTGGTGCAAAATGTACACCACTACTGACGTGTACAGTTTCAAGTCTGTCTTCACTACACGACTGAATGTGTAAGTGTACATACACAAAGTAAATGCAGTTTGTCCCCTTTCATTCACTCATATTCTGTGCAGTGTACAACCCTGATTCCTACAAGGTTGTGATGTGTAAAACATACAAACAAACTGAATGCAATGATTTGCAAATCTCATAAATTCATATTTTATACACAAGGTAGCATAGTAAAAACAGATCAAACATTTAAACTATGACTTTCTACTGGATTTTAGAAAAGAATAAGTTCATTTGGAATTTTATGGCAGCAAGAAAAAAAGTGGGAAGACAAAAGTGGGGAATGGGGCAATGAAAGCCTGTAAAAGGTACAGGGTAATAAATAAGAAACAGCTGGAAAAGCATCTTGCAGCTGAGTACTCTGACAGTAGAACAGTAAAAGACTGGCTAGACTGGATATAAAGATGGTCAGAAGTTCACCAGTCTGAGAAAAACTGCCTCAAAATAGCCAAACAAATGCAGAATAATGTTCCTCAGTGGGAAAACTGGAAATACTTTGAATACCCCATCAGCTACAGTTCATAATATCATCAAACAAACTTAAATGTGGAGAAATCTCTGAGCTCAAATGAGCTGAAAGTCAATAATATGTGATGGTGATCTTTGGGCCCTCAGGGGCCACTGCATTAACAACAGGTCTGATATTATTTTAAACAGGACTGCACGGACTTAGGAACACTTCCCGAAAACACAGTTCATCGTGCAATGCACAAATGGGTTAAAGCTCTATCATGCAAAGATGATTTTAAACTTGAACACCATCCAGAAACAGATGGTGAGAACTAGCCTGGTTAAAACCAGCCCCTTGTTCTTCAATTTGCTTCATATGAGGGTCTGGACTCTTGGCTATTAAGAAGTGATTCTTGCTGGAGGCGTGGCCTCTGTTGAAGTTTAAAATGATTGGATCAGTTGGCTACGACGTATGTGTGCCAGCTCCACTGTGAAGGAGGCTAAGCTAAGAAGCTAACCGGAAATTGCGTGCACTGTAAACAACCCTACTGAGAGGAGAAATACTGTATACTGAGCTGAATGAGACAGCTGTAAATGAGAGCTGCTGCTTTGTCAGACAAATGTAATTTAATTTGGAAGCCTTATCAACACGGACTGGCTTCATTCACTTCCTCCACTGCCGTATGCTAAAATAACTAGCAGACACTGCGCAGAAAATCAACGTTGTCGTTAAAAAGTCCTCCTTCTGCTCTCTGACTGGCCCAAACTAAATTCTCCTGAAGAAATCCTTGTCAATGGGAGAAATCCCAGACAGAGCAGTGAAGGAAACTAGAACTGAGTGGAACTGAAGGCAAGGGCCAGGGTAGGTGACACTTTTCACTGCCAGAAGATTCAAAATACTCCTGTTATTCTAAAACAATTACAGTTTCTTAGTTTGAACATTTTATATGTTTACTATGTTCCATTGTGAATAAAATATGGGTATACGAGATGTGGAAGTCATTGCATTCTGTTTTTATTTATATTTTACACCAGTGTTGTATAAAGCAGTGTTTCCCAAAGTTGGGGTCGGGACCCAAAGTGGGGTCCCGAAACATCAAGGTGGGGTCCTGAAAAGATTTTCTGAATTAATTACATTTTTGCCTTAGTTGTTACAAAGGAATGAGGTTAGTATGTTTAAAATGGATAAATGTAGCATAAAAATATTGTTACTATGCCCATGTTTAGTTGACCTGATACAAATGTTTATCATTCAAAAATAGTTTGGGAGCACAGGTCTCTGTTATTATTTTGTGGGTCAAAAGCTGAAAAGTTTGGGAACCACTGCACTTTGGTTCCCAAAGTTGGGCTTGGGACCCAATTATGGGTCATGAAGCACCTTGGATAATCTCCAGAAATCAATTTAAAGGGTAATAAAATAATTGCTGATGTAACATTTTCCCTATATTTATTACAAAAACACAAAATAAGTAAAAAAGAAGTATTTATATTTGTGTATAAGCTGTTTAGATTGTCAAAAAGCCTGCGTTTTTAGGGTTTTTAACGAAGTCCATGTACTCAGATCAGCAATATTTGGGGTCACAAGTTTTTGCCATGGATATTTTGTGGGTCAGAAGATAAAAAGTTTGGGAACCACTGGTATAAAGTACTTTAAAGTGATACTTGAGTAAAAGTACAAAAATCTTGCTATACAACTAATTAGGTAAAATTAAAGTCTCCTCTATAGATATCACTTGAGTAAAAGTTTAAAAGTATCTTACCTTTACTACATTAAGTATCAGAATTAAATTTCTGACATAAAATATACTTAAATATTAGAGGTAAAAGTACTGAGTAAAAGTGAGCAGATAGAATTTCTAAAATGGCATTTATTGGAAGGTGACATCCCAAAAAATATTAACATTTTTCTAAAGGTCATAATGACTATAATGCTATTTTAAAATGTTAAAGTTAAAAAAACGTAGGATTCACTAGGCTTCCTGCACATATAGTTTTGCCAGACGTACTGTATCTGCAGGAACACATCTGCTACGTTCTGCTGGAGTTTGATGTGATTTGTGTCTTGTGCAAATGTGATGGATTGTGCAAACCAATAGGGTATCACAACTGTAAATGTTTATTAGGGTTATGAAATTAATCAAATTAACTGATTAATTTTAGTGCTGCATGGGCATAGATTAAAATTTTTAATTGCGACTAAAATTTACAATCACTTCACTATGGCTGAATATGAAGGTTTGTATATTGCACTGCACTCAGTGCATGTCAGGTCATGTTTGTAAATGAGAAGTGGTTCTCAAACAGTTTACTTGGATAAATAAAGGTTAAATAAATGAAATAAAAAACTCCATGTGTAACACATTATGTACAGGTTTTTTCTTTTTGTCTTCTTATGGCTTGTTTTATTTTATTTATTTATGTTTTGCTGACAGCTGTGAGCATCTTTCATTCTTCATGTAGTACTCATTCGGAATGAAAATCCTTGAATTCTTGATTTAACCTCATTATGCTGCACAAAATTTAACTGACTCAAATATGTTTGGAGCATTTATTAGGTCCTGTTTTATATTCAAAAAAATCATGTCTAAGCATCAATTTTGTTTTCTAAATAAAAACATTAAAAGCTAATTAATAACTCAATAATTTACTTTATCAATATGCTATAGAAATAAATATTAAATTTAAGATTAATCATGATTAATTCACAGCTACTTTGGGATGAATCAGATTAAAAATATTAATCATTTGACAGCCCTAATATTTATGCTTCTCATCCAACCACAATTAAATTCACTCTATCTGAGAGGCGAAATTTATCTGACAGGATTTTATTTTTTTTTAACAATACAAGTTACGGCTTTCTACTACTTAGCTTTTATAAAAACGTAAGGAGTACAAGTAAAACATCAGTTGAAAAATAATTTCTCAAGTAAAGTACAGCTTACCCAAATTTCTACTTGAGTACAGTACAAAGTATTTATATTTTGTTGCCCTGTTTTAAACAAAGTTGCAACATTTTCTAATAACCTAAATCTGCAGTTCTTTTATGGAGAAGCAATTGAATGTGAAATGTGTCACCGACACAAAGAGCATTTGGAGCAGAGGGAACGATATTTAGGCCACCTTCTTAACACAATCCAAGGGCACACAGGCGAGGGCCTCAGTGTAGAACAGCAACGACCCCATGTGAAGGTGAGAGAAGATCCTCTGAGTCAGCTGCTGTTAGCTAACTGCTAACACTCCCGTCACATGTGGCCACAGCTGTTTTTCAATTCATTCCCTCCTCTTAACTTAATAAGCTCAGTCTGATTCGGGTCGATTCTCATCAAAACGCTGTTTGTTTCTAATTTTAGACCCGGGCGAGGATCAGTTAGCCTCCAGCTCTGTTAATTACGGCTGTGGGCTGCTCGTTCAAGAGGAGGAACGTCTTGTAGCAGCTTCGTCGAGCTGCGGAGAGCTTTGAGTTTCTAGTTTAATGAGGGGAACTGAACATAAAAAAAGTTCAAATTTGCATCATACAATTATCTGTGTGGAATAATACCCTCAAGGAAAAGTTGTTTTTCATGTGCTTTTCCTTCGAGCTATGAAAATGGTTTGCTTAGCTTAGCTTAAACACTAGTGGGAGCTGTTAGCCCAGCTCTCATTAACGGTAAAAACATGATTTTAACAATTCTTTTACCACATTTATATCTGAATCATGCCTTTACAGATGACAAGTTAGACTTTGACTTTCAGAAAACAGATTTTTATTACTAACTTTCACTGAAAGGTGTGAGACATATTTATCTTTAAACAAAATATATTATAAACCACTGTGTGGATTTTATTTTACTCTCAGAAATTGACCATTGATTGTAAATCTTCAGCAACCAAAACCTTAGCAAAAAACATTATTTTACAGTGATTAAGTTCAGGTTTGTTGTGGTCGTCACTGAGAACCTGTCACAACTCCTGCAGTATTCACCACACAATAAATTACATCTTTGCTTGAAACTTCAACATTAACCTTTGAAATCAACCTTGTCTGTTTGTTAGAAAAATATCTCATGAACCTTTTAGTAAAATGTCGAGAAAGTAATGATTGGATATATAATTGGAGTCACTCCAGTTTAAAATAGCTGTCGCAGCTAATCAACCTCAACACATACAAAAGTGGTGATAACTCAGTCAGTTTGCTTTGGTAGTAGTTGAGAGTCATTTACAACACATCCTGAGAGCACTAACTGCTCATTTAATTATTTCTTTAATAGTTATTATCTGATTTGCCCTGTAAATCTAAATTAAAATTGTTTTTACAAACTTTTGACTTCACTGCAAATGGAATGTTTTTTATTAAGCTGAACTTTTGTTGTAAACACAAAGCTGCTTTACTCTAATCTGTTTTTCGTGTTTTCTTGTCTCATGAACATTTCAGTGCGTGCTCTACCTTTGGTCATTGAAAATCCTCTACCCAAAGACCCTCTTTCTTCTACGGGGAAACCATGAATGTAGACATCTGACAGAATATTTTACCTTCAAACAAGAATGTGAGTTGTTTCTTTCTTCTTTTTTTAATGGCATGCTTTTTTCCGATCTCTTTTGTGTCCGTGTTTCACTGACATGGACTTCTTATTAAATTTAGATGTTTGCTTTGGACATTTTTTATATTACGGCTGAAAAACATATTTTATTAACAATTACACAGATCATAAAAGACTGTCCTCGGAGCCTGGGAAAAATTCAGTATTTTTGTGCTATTTGTGCTGCTAAAGAGTTTCATAGTAACACAAAAAATCCACTCAATGAACTAAAGTTGCTGCTTACAACTGCTGAATTCACAGTTTTTACCATTTTGCATTCACCTTCATAAGTCATAATTGTTATTTATTGATAAAAAAAAAAAGGATCAGTTCTCAATAGAAATCATCAACAATTTATTCATCATGTTGGAGATTTTGGTGCTGAAAGAGAAAATGTTACTAAAGTGATAGTTTAGGGTTTTTTCAAAGCGAGGCTGTATGGATTATAAAACTGCACCTGTCAGCTTGTATGTCCTCTCTCCTTACATCCCTCAGTCTTCCTCCTCCCTCCCTGGCTTGACGTCTCTCTGTGTGTCTTTCTGATTCCTCTGCCAGTGAGAGTGGGTGATTAGCACCAAATTAATTTGGCCCTTAATGATTGGCTCAGGGACTCACTCCTCTGTGTCTGATTGGCCAGGGGACGAGGAAGCTAATTTCCCTCGGTGCTCATGGCGAATAGTGGTTGCCCTCAATTACCATCTGCTATGTGCTGTGCATGTGCGCGTTTGTGGGTGTGCGACAAGTGTGTGCTAGTGCGTGTGCGGCGACGGCGTGCGAGTGTGTGTCTTTATAAATGTTTGAGGGTGTGGAAGGAGCTGACAACTGGTGGACTGGCAATAATGAGCTCTAGCTCTACACGAGGCAGATGGAGAGGTTGACAAACACACTCCTCATGTCTCTCACACACACACACACACACACACACACACACACACACGCACGCACGCACGCACACACATACATACAAATGTTGCCTATTGATCTCTGGTACCCCACAATACTTGCATTTTCTTATCCTCACTCCCTTCTGTTTCTTCCTTCTTTACAGTCTTTTAAAAATATTTTTAAGGGATAGTTTGTTAAATTGTGGGGTGATTTTCTGTCTAACAGTTCACTCAACTCCCAGCGTAGCCTACATGCAGCAACTTCAGCACTTACAGGCTACATTTCTGCAGTTTTCAGGGGTGGCAGTAAAGGCAAATTCTAAGGGCGCTGTCCATCTAGGGGGCACCACAAATGGGGACAAATTCTTTTTGATAACTTTTTATCAGACTATAGTTGCCTTAATCTGTAGAATAACCACTGCTTACTCAGGTTTATGAAAGTAATTTGTTCTGTGGGTTTCTCAGCCTGTTTTATATGAGGTGTTTAGGATGTTTTGTAATAAAAGTATCATACGATGCAGTCCAGTCTAACTACTGGTGCTTAGTGTATCAACAGCTGTGATCTCAGATAAAAATTCAGGTTAAAGTCTGGTTTTCGGCGTTCTACCATCATAAAATGCAGAATTTTTTTTTTTTGCTTTGTTATTCTCAAAAATTTAGTAAAATGCTCTTCAAATGGCTGGAAAATGTTTGTTTTGAGTAGATCTTTTACAAAAATTTCTGTGGGAGTACACTCCTGGACCCCCCCCAGAACTGCCTCCCTCCACTGCTGCTGGTCAACATTGCTCTCTGACGTTGTTGGCAGTAATGAGGTGGACTTCTTGTATTTTGTTTCAAATAAATTATATTGTTAACTATTTTAATTGGACAACCTGTTTTCTAAAGATAAAAAAAACAACATCAAAGAAAAAACTATTTAGTTTGGTATAATGTAATAATGTAAACTGGGAGTTAAATTTAGAAAACTGCAAAAGGGGCACCAAATTGGCTAGGGCCAGCCCTGGCAGTAACACTACAACAGCATCAGACTAAAAAGAGTCATGTAAAAATGTACAGACTTAAAATTAGCCAATGTAGCATTTTTAAAAACTAACCCATATCTGGCCAGCCAGGAAGATTTAGCTAAACTTTTAGTTAACCTATTGCTAACATGAGTTTTTGAGCCATGTTTTTCTACTTTAGTTTTTATTTAGCCTTTTTCCTGGGATTAGCTTCTGGCTAGCCTTTTAAAACTGTTAGCCATTGATTTGTATCAAGTGAAAAGGTGACATTGTTATATATTGAGTCTTGACTCAGAACATCCGTGGATGGTTGTAAAAATTAGATGCAGCAGACAATCATGCAAGGAATATCAAAAAAGGGCACAATATTTTTCCTTAACTTGTCAACACTATGACAACAAGATCATACCATCAAAGGTTATCACATTTTACGGCCATTAAAATGTTTTTAATTTAAAAACTGGCAGAGATGCAGGAAGTAGATCAGTTTTGCTAGCTTGATTTTGACAATCTTATGTCAGGTAAATCCACTCAAAGACAAATTTGCTGTTCCAATAAATTATTATATAGCCTGTTTTTATTAATATTTTTTGTCAGGATAACAGTGTGGGAGGTAAAATTACCTTATAGGCTGAACTGTGTAGATATAAATTATTATATAGCCTGTTTTTATTAATATTTTTTGTCAGGATAACAGTGTGGGAGGTAAAATTACCTACTAGGCAGAACTGTGTAGATCTATATTACTGGTACGAATGTTCTGTCCAGTCAGCATTGTAAAAAACTCCAGAACTTTTTTTTCCTCCACCATACATTTCATAAGCAAAGCTACCGTATTTTTTTCATGTATATTGCAATCATATTTTTTTGAGCTTAAAAAGCATAAAAAAATTCTAATCATCAAAAACCTGTGTATAATATTACCCCCTACTTTATGGATGATTTTTAGGGTTAAACTTCTAGTATTATACAGTGTATATANATTATATAGCCTGTTTTTATTAATATTTTTTGTCAGGATAACAGTGTGGGAGGTAAAATTACCTTATAGGCTGAACTGTGTAGATCTATATTACTGATAGTGTCCAGTCAGCATACATTACTTTATGAATATATACACTCTGTAAAAAAAGGGGTAATTGATATTATTTAAAAAAAACTAAGCAATTGTCCTAAGTACAGTTTCATCATTGAACAAATTATATTTACGTTGTTTGTTTCATTTTCTCAACTCTTAAATCCTAATTTTGCCAATTTGAATTTGATCGCTGACTGAATGGAGCCGTTCACAAACCACACAAAGCTAGATTAGAAGTGGAGCTTGTAATTCCATTCTTCAGTTTCCTATTTTAAGAGCAACTGTTTCAGATTTCGACTGAAAGTCTAAAACGCTTTGAATCGCAATACTATGACATCCCATGTGTTAACATTTAGTTTTAGGTGGTGGAAAGGGGCTTGTACAGTAAAAGCATTAGCAAGTATCCATAATGAAAAGTTCTCAGAATGCTTTTAGAGAAAACATATTTTTACATATAACATCTGTAATTTTCTCATCTTTAATTTAAGCCATGTTTTATAGAAATCAAACAAGAAATAAGGACACAAATATTTTTGTGACAGATTGATGTGCATCCCTCATCCGAACATGGTTTTGTTGACATGACTCAGTGAATAGTAATGGCTCCTGTGGTGGCGTGTCACTAGCTATAGCAACTATAGGTGATGTCCAGTAATACAGATCATTGCTGTTAGCAACAGTACTTTTAGCTTGTGTTTTGCCATTTTTTTCTAATAACCTCTAGCTAAGCTAGCAATTTACCACTTTTAGCTATTTTATTTATTTATCAGCTTTTTTTAACCAGGCAAATCCCACTGAGATCACAGATCTCTTTTGCAAGCGAGGCCTGGGCCTGAAGGCATCTTATGTTTCATGTTGTGGGGGAAACCAGAGTACTTGGAGAAAACCCACCCAAGCACAAGGAGAACATGCAACTTCTGCACAGAAAGATCCCCGGTATAAACTGGGGATCAAACCCAAAACCTACTTGCTGCGAGGCATCAGTGCTAACCACTGAGCCAACGTGCTGCCCAGTCTTTTGTTATATTTATCTTGTAGCTTTTGAGTTGCTGTTTGATTTGAGTCTTATTACTTTTAACTGGTGTTTTATTGCTTAAACTCTTTAGTGTTTTGCTTTTGTTTGCTAAATTTTGGTGAAGAAGCTAAACTTAGTTGTTAAAGCTGTCATTCATCACCAAGGAGGTTCTATAGAACAGCTGGAGTGAGCAAAAACCACATGGGCGTGTGATCGGCTGGAGAAGCTAACGGCTAACGCTAAATGGTCAAAACTCTGGATTTCCCATTACTGTACATGTTGACAACAGAGCAGAAAAAAAGGACTGACGATGTAGAAATCATTAAAACTATTAATAATGATATTAATACAATTATTATTAATATTTTACAGTTTATATAATCTATCTAATGTTTTAAATAATGTCAGAAAAGCTGTTTGTGTTATGGATTTATTAACAGAAGA